TAGTTTACCGCGAGTATTTGTAATTGAATAAAATTTTAGTTAACTTTTCCACGTACTTTTTTCAATTTATCCATTTTTTATGCTTAAATTTCGAGAACATAGCAGATTCTTTTATTTTACCGATTGCTAGCAATTTTTCTTGAATTCCCAAAACAACGTGTGAAAACGCAACGTATCGTGACCGTACATGCGTAAATGCCGCCTGTCGGCACGGGTGAGTACTGATGCCACAAATAAAAAATGTTATGAGTTTTATTTTGACAAATCGTTCGTTTGGGCGTTGGGGACAAATCACCTTGTATATTTTCTACATTAATGTTTTGTACTTGTTCTTGGTTACTCGAATTGCATTTCATGAACGCAGAATAATTTGCGAATGTATAAATCACCGATTTCAAACTGTTTGCATTTCGTAAATACTAATAGTGACCAATCTGTTTGTATTTTAAAAAATTGTAACATGTTTCAATTAAATTAAAAAGAGAATAGTAAATAACTTAGTGTGTATTGCAGTTCATGACATAAATGCTAGAATACTGTATATAAATGATATGCAAATTAATATGCAAATTTATGCTAATTAGGCCGCCCACCAGCTATTTTAGATTGTGGAGAACACTGTATTGACAATTTCAAAATAAATTTAGTTATTCTGCTAGTCTACTTATAGGCCAGTTAAGCATTGTAGATCTTGTCCAATCATAACCCTGTTGTTTGTGTTACATTTCAGCTTGTGACGATACTTGTACTGGGCTATTGCTAGATGAGATAGAAGCCCTGACAGCAATGCTAGAAACACCAAATATTACCGGAATTGTTCCTGCACCATGGCCAAGACTTAGGGCTTTAGTTAATGAAACTGAAATATTAGGGGTGAGTGCAATATAGACTGAAATTCAAACCATTTGAAAAAATCCAGGCTTCACAGTAATGCACTCATGTATAGGATTGATGTATGCGTTGTGTTCTGTTATATTTTGTCACCATCTAGCAACTTCAAGATTAGTTTATAATGTTTATAATGTGTTCTATCACCAACTTATAGGTATTGATTTATTTAATCACCTAGGACAATATATAGGTGGATTGCCCTTTTGCAATCATGGGCAAATTATGATGCTGTGGCTATTAAAATTCAAAGTTCTTAAAAAGCAACTTTTACTTCTCTGTCCACAAATCTAATAAAAAAACGACTACAGTTCTAGAAATCTCAATGCATACCCTTGGTTTATAAATTATAAATTCTATTGGACTAAATTTTAATCAATGGAACATATAGTCTATATGTCTAAGATTGTACATTGTCTACCGTATTTGTTCTATTAGAAGTGTATCTCAAACAGAGGGCCATATTATTAGACAACAATGTTTTTATTGGTGGGGTTATTAAGTACATTTAACTCATACTGATTGGCTGATACTGAGATTTAATGGCTTTTACCATAAGCATCTTCACTTCTAATAGAGCACACACAGAATTGCTTACTTCTCCTATGTTTGCTTGATTGCTAGGTGGGTTGAGTTAATAAGCCTGGCCATTTGTTTCCCTTTAGTAAGTTGTGATGTTATCTTTACAGCCTCGATTAGAATCATACAAGAATGCAAAGAAGGCAGCTGCTCAGATTGTGATGTCATTGCCCACCGGTGTGAGTGGATTACAAGATGAAATGGATGAGTTATTGCAAAGGGTCAGATTTTAATTAATTATTTGGAGATTGCGTGGAAATATTTTACTGTGACTGCATCTTAGACTTGATCAATACAGTCAATTTGTGTCATTCAAGAATTTTATCAAAATAAATAAAAATAAATAATAAAATAAATAAAAGCAGATGAAATGTTGCACCAACATTTTTCATGAGAAAAGATGGCAAAAAAGTTTGGGTCCAGACCATAGTTTTAGTATAAAATAATATTACATCACACGGATTATGTAGTTGAAATGTGGGACTTGTGGTGACAAATTGGTTTCTGTTTGTTTAAAACTCTAGCCCAAGTTTATATGCTCTTATTTCTTGTATCCCCCAATATTTCTGGAAAAGAAACCTATTTTTGGAGCCAACAGACACAAATTTGAGTCAATTTTCAGTTTTTACTCTAAAAGATTCGGCTATTTTTGTCTCAATCTTGTGAAGGAAAGAGCAGATTATAAACAGGACTATTTTGTGAATTTGTGATGAAAAGAGGGAACTGGGAGTGAACAGATTATAGGATTGGAACGTTCATCGTTAATAAAACATTCAGCAGATTATAGCAGATTATTAATCCCAAAATGTTTTCATATTCTGTAAAATTGTCACTAAATTTCATCATCAATTTGGACCATACAGTGTCTGCTATTGCTATTCATTTTTTTTCAAAGATTTGTCATTTTTTATCAACATTTTACTTGGGGAGAAGAAATCAACAAAATCAATTTGTAGATGGTGCCAAAAGTTCATATCTTTTGCTCAAAGGGTTAATATGTCAGTGTATATTTTTATATCCATGTAGTCTTACTTATTCAGTTTTAACTTTGTTTTTTAACAGTCTGAAGAAATGAAGGATAAATCTGGTCAAGTGAATGATCAAACCAGTATTAGTAATGATAGAGCAATGGATGTTGAAAAACTACTCATGGATACGTTAGCAAAATTGAAAGGTGACATACAAAATATTAACATCTGAGAATTATCAGAATAAATGAATTTCTGCTCAAATGAACGTCGGCCGCAAAAATCGAACAATTTGATGTTGAACTTGAATTTCTTTAGTTTGTCTTTGACAGGGAAATATTGCGTTTGAATACCCTTATTTCATCGAAATTGACCGTCATCAAATGTGTATAGCACACTATTAAGCGTGGAAATATCCTCTAAAATACTTTTCACGTTTGTCGAATTCAACGCGATGGTTGACGCGACTATGACGCTATGACCTTTGTTTGTCTTATTTTTTCGTTCAATTTCACGCATAATGCAGAATCTCGCAGTGAACGGGAAATGGT